TCCCACCTGCTGGCCGCGGGAGGAACTGCTCAGCACCACCCAGTGTCAAATGGCCGTCGTGCAGGGAGGGGCGGACGGAGGGTGCTGAGCCCCGGACACGCCAGGTGCCAGCAGCGGAGCCCCATCCCGGCCCAAACCCGGTGGAAAGAATCAGAAGCCGGTTGACCGCCTCCGCCTCTGGCAAGGCCCAGGGTTCTGCCGGCGTCTCCACCTGTGGTCCTGCCTCCCTCCTCCCTGGAGCCAGTGAGAAGCTCCTTCCCCGCAGGCTGGGGGAGTCTGGGGGTGCCAGCTGCCCTCTCCTCTCCTGCCTCCTTCCTGCAGAGGGGGCCCCCATCCCTGACCAGATGCCCAGGCACCGGGGAAACGCAGACTTTCCTGTCCCTGCACTGACCGGGGGTTTCACTCACTGCTTGCGCCCAATGGCCAAAGCTGGACAATTCAAGCAACAAAATAATGTGGTTTTGCATTAAACCGAAATTATAAAATAAATATTTATGCCTCCAAACAGATATAATCGATTGAATAAAGAAGGATGGGTGCAGAAACACATCTCCTGAGGACAGAATTCCAAATGGTTCTGCAGCACTCCCTGCCCCCGCTCCTTCCCGCGTGTAGGCTGCACTTGGGGACTTGCTCCCAGAGCACAGCCGGGGAGAAAGTCACTCACAGCACAGAAAGCTGCACCCGCCGCCTCAGCCGAGTGACCCGGGCTAAGGGGCGGTGAGAGACCCTGCCGATGGCCCGGACCTGTGAGGTGCTAGGATGCGAAGGCCACCACTGATTTTTTCAAAATATATTTTATCGATTTTCACAGAGAGGAAGGGAGAGGGATAGAGAGTCAGAAACATCGATGAGAGAGAAACATCCATCAGCTGCCTCCTGCACACCCCCCACTGGGGATGTGCCCACAACCCAGGTACATGCCCTTGACCGGAATCGAACCTGGGACCCCTCAGTCCGCAGGCGACGCTTCATCCACTGAGCCAAACTGGTCAGGGCTACCATTGTGATCTTAAAAACTCATAATACCAGTCTCACCCTGAGAAAAACATCAGACAAACCCAATGGAGGGATAGAGTCTACAAAATACCTGACCAGTACTCCTTGAAGTTACTAAGGACCAAAGGGTCCCAGATTCGATTCCCGGTCAAAGGCACGTGCCTGGGGTAGGAGGTTCAATCCTGGCCCGGGTCAAGGCATGTGTGGGAGATACCAATTGATGTGTGTCGCTCTCACATCGGTGTTTTTCTTTCCCTCTCTCCCTCCCTCCCTCCATCTCTTTCACTCTCTCTAAAAATCAATGGGAAAAATATCCTTGGGTGAGGATTAACCAAAAATAAAAAATAAAAATGCAGTGGTCCATGAATAGACAGATTTGCTGGTACAGAGCAGAAGCCACAAAAGCGTGTATATATATACTGAAGTGTAGTATATGAGAAAATGGCATTTCAGATCTGTGGGATAAGATGAATTATTCAGTAAATGGTGTGAAGACAACTGGGTAACCATCTGGGAAAAGAGGAAGTTGGATCCCTAACATGAAGCCCAGATGGAATCGGATCAAAATGCAAAAACTAAGATCAGGTAAGTATAGAAAGAAGAAATTAAAAGATTACATAAGAAATAATTCAGCAAGGAAAAGGAGAAAGCAGTAACAAAATGGGGAGAAATAATGACAAAGCAGGAAGAAAAGGACCAATAATCACAAAGAAAGATGGCACACCCTGGCAGGTGTGGCTCAGTTGGTTGTCATCCCATGCACCAAGAGGTCGCTGGTTCGATTCCCACTTGGCACATGCAGGGGTTGCAGGCTTGATCCCACACAGGGAGTGTGCAGGAGGCAGCCAATCGATGTTTTCCTCTCTCATTATTGATGTTTCTATCTTTCACTCCCTCTCCCTTTCTCTCTGAAACCAATAAAAATATATTTTTTTTAGGTTAGAAACATATCTTTAAAAAAATATGGTCACAGGTTTGATTCCGGTCAAGGACACATACCTAAGTTGTAGGCTCGATTTGCAGCCCGGATCAGGGTGCATGCGGGAGGCAACCAATTGATGTGATTCTCTCACATAGATGTTTCTCTGTGTGTGTGTCTCTCCCTCGCCCTTCCACTCTCTAAAAATCAATGGAGAAAAAAAATCCTTGGGTGAAGATTAACAAAAGAGAAATGGGCAAAAAATATAAAGATAGCTCATAGAAAAGGATATACAAATGGCTCAAGAACATAC